AGCGGTTCCTTGAAGATTGTGTTTGACTTCTCGAAGAAACCCGAGAGCCCGCAGATGACGAATATCGTTGCGACTTTCACAAACTTGACTCCCAACACGTTCACGGATTTCCTCTTCCAGGCTGCTGTTCCAAAGGTTAGGTTCTTCTAGTTATGTTTTCACATCATATGCTGTAGAATTCTTCTTTCAAGTGCATCGGTTAATAGCTTTTCGGATTTTAATTATGCAGAAAGCTACTACTAAGTCGTGTATAAATCGAAAAAAGATGAGATTAGATATACAGTTTGTTAATTGTGTGACTCTTGTCTTACAGATTTTAGCCGTCTTTTTAACATTTGCAGTTTCTACAACTTCATTTGGATCCGGCAAGCAGCAATACTCTTCCAGCTAGCGGTAACGGAACCATCACGCAGACTCTGAGAGTTACAAACAGCCAACACGGCAAGGTATGCATTTATGCTTCACACTTTATTTCCCCATTTCTCTTTCGCCAATCATTAATTGGGCGAGACGAGGTATGGGGTCAAGGAAAGAGAGAGAGAGTCGTGGCGAAGAGATTAAAGATAGAGAGGTGCCCTAGTCCGAGGCCGAGTGGCGATGCGAGCCGAGGGCAAACCGAACCCGCATCCCTCACCCTCAGTCCTCTGCCTCCGCGTTCCTCCGTTGGCTCTCATCCTCATCTCCCGGCCTCACACCCCCTCGTCCTCGCCCCCTCTCCACTGGGGTTGAAATTCGAACCTGAGTGGAGGGCTCCCCATCGTTCAAAAGATTTCGGGTTTTCATGTGCACATCTAGGTTTAGCGATGCATCTACCGTAACGAGATTCTCTCTTGGTTTCAGAAAGCCCTCGTGATGCGAGTAAGGATAGGTTACAAGGTTGACGGCAAAGATGCGTCGGAGGAAGGGCATGTCAACAATTTCCCACGCTCCTTGTGAGTTTCAATCTGCTCTATCAAAACATCCGATTATTCATATAATTTTTCTTTATATATATAATGTGCGTTGAGTTTTCATTCTTCTTCTTCACCCCGTGGTTTGGTCGTGGCTTCATGTAAACTCGGCATTGAGGGATGTCTTTCATGGTTTCCTCTCTCTCTGTTTTCGTTTATATATTATGTTTTTGCCGTGCACATTTACACATGACGTTAACCGGTTCTCGTACCAAATTCTAGCCGGTCCGATTGACGATATTATCCGGTTGGTGTAAAACTGTCAGAATTTAATGCTTCAAATCGACCAACCCATATACACGTCAGCAAAAATTTATAAAAATAAAATTTTACAAAACTGCATGAATAAAACCAAAGCAAAACTAGTAGTCAAACTCTTAACGTTAATTTATCACAAATTATCTTTTTCAAAGTCTAACTTAATGATTATAGCATTATTCAATGATTTTATTTAAATATTGATATTATTAAATTTACATAATATCTTGTTTGGCAAATGGAGCCTGTAAATCTAACACAACTACTGTGAAACAAGAAAGGTGTTGAATGGAAAGTGGTTTTCACAGTTTTTGGATTTTAAAAACTGAAAAAACCGATAATCCGGAAATCTACTTTATGAATAAAATCAACTAAAAACCAAAAGCCACATTTTTTTAGAATTTACAAACTTATAAAATCCAAAAGCCAAAAACCAAAAACTAAAAACTAAAAGCCAAAAACCAAAGTCAAAAACCAAAATAAAAACCAATGTCATTCAAGACCAAAATCTAACGTGTGCTATGTAAGGACCAAAAATACATGGCAGAAACAAAACAGAGAAATTAAAATTAAAAAGTAAGAAAAAAAATCAAGTACATTATTGTACTTAGACACACCACACCCACAAAACAACTAACCTTATTATCTCAATCATAATTACCGTTTTTTCTATGAATGGTTATCGTTAATCACGATCATAAATATCGTTACTGTCATGGTGATAGTCGCTACACTCACCCACCACATCATGATGATGGTGATGATGATGATGATGATGTTGAATCCAACAAGCGACGTCGTTTTGGTCCTCGTGGGTAGCACTCGTCTCTTCTCGTGCGTTGCCACGCTGAAAAGTGTTGTACCTTTGCTGCGGGGAAGGTACGACCGACGGAAGCTTCGAGAGCAAAGCTTCCAAGCTTCTCATCGACGGCGTGATCTTCATCGGCGCAGGAGCGACGGGGAAGTGACACGTGTCGGGAGGAGAGCAGTTGATGAAAGGGTAACTTGAGGATGAAGGGTGTGGGAGTAGGACTCCTGGGATGCTCTCTATGTAGCTGAACTTTTTCTTTAGCATTACCACATAGCTCAAGTCCTCAATCACCTTCATACATACATATACATATATGTACATCAATTTAGTCAAGTGAACATTTCATATATATACACACGTGACACACACACACACAGTCGTATGAGCGGATATAAATATATCCATGCATATGAGCATTGGTGTCCCATCAAATAAAAAAAATTGAATTTTTATACAGAACTTATAAATTTGTCGGCTCGTGACATATACATGTGTATATTACACACATATATACATAGATGATAGATGCAGGGATATGTATAATACGCACTCTACATAGAGTGAGGAGAGATGGGAGGGGGAGAGAGAGAGAGAGAGAACCTTGTGAACAGCTCCTAATTGGACAACACCTCCTCCAACGGCAACGAGGGCAATGGTCTGTAAAACATTTGATGTGCATTAATTCATAGTTATGTTATTATTATTATTATTTTTTGTATGTCTGAAAAAGTATGTATAGGCATGGGTGCTGTATGTAATTAAGCATCTATGTATGCGTGTATGTATAGATACATATGCATGGATATGTGGGTGTACATGTGCAGAGAGTGGAAACAATACCTTGATACCAGACTGAAACTGAGCTGCCCATGTCCTTGGGTACTGCACAAATATGACAAAAGTGGTTCTTAATATATATATATATATATATATATATATACAGGTACTGTATGCTTTCTCTCTTTTCTCCCATGGCAATATGTATATTATGTATATATATGTGTGAGTATATATGTTGGATATGCTTACTGAGTCAGGAGAGTTGTGCCAAGCAGACAGGAAACTGATCTCTTCTTGGTCATTGGGCTCTCTGTAAATCCACTTGTGACTGTTATCTGCAGCTACTTTACCCATCAACCTGCAAAAGTTAAATCCTTAATTAAAAAAAAAAACCCCAAAAAAAAAACATCAGCATAATGTAATATTATTAACACTGACTTAATTAATTAAGTTCCACTAATCAGCAGTTATTATCAAGATTATTTCTTAAAAAAAAAAGGTTTATGGTTAACACAAAAGTACGTTGACCTATCTTCTAACAAATCAATCACCCTTTTAAGTATCGGATTTAGAAAATTAATTTATATTTCTTAAGTATCTAATCAGAGGATCTGAATTCAAGATGAATTACATTCTTGGACACAACTAAAGAAAGCAACCCCGAAATCAATAAAAGGGAGGAAACCATATCAAAAGGCTATAAAATCAAAAGAAAAAGAAGGACAATACAAATATTTAATTAAATAAAGTATCCGATAATATATATATATATATATATATATATATATATATATATATAGATTCCGACAGACCCTTCTCCATAATTGTAGATTTCATGTGACATCTTGAAGAAGAGTTCAGGCTGAAGCCCTTGATATTGCTGCAAATCAAAGTTTCCGTGCACCGACGATCCACATCCGGCGCCGGCGGCACACTCGCCGGAGCTCATCTCCGCCGCCGAGGATGCAAAGTTGCAGAACCCATCTTCCCACACCAATATCCTATATATACATAAGAGATGTATACATATTTACATACACAGAAAATTATATTGTTTACAAAAGCATTTAAAAAGGATCATACATACACACACATAAAAGGGCATATAATGAGAACCCTCGGTGAGAGTCATTGGAAAAAAACAAATTAAATATTATATATATATATATATATATATATATATGTATATATATGTTTGATGATGCTTCTGTTACCAGTTTCTCCTGTTTCCTCTTGATCTGTCATATGCTCCCTGAACATCCCATCTGAACAATACCAAGATTGAGAATCTTAATTATTTGATCACATGTGTACATATACATATATACATATAGGAGAGAGAGAGAGATCTAGAGAGAGAGAGAGAGAACCTGGGAGGAGGATAATTTCTTGGCAAGATCCTCCAAAAAACAGCATAAACCCAGAGAGATTTTTCATGGATGCAGAGGCTTCTCAGTGTGTGTTGAAGGAGATGGGTCACAGCAAATGGACTGATGAGATGTTCCTCCATTAATTGTAATTTTCGAAAAGGATGAGAAGAGAGGTAGAAAACCCTCAACCATATCTAACCCTCCTTTATACAACAAGTTCAGACCCACCACCAAAGCATCTTTCACATTTTTATTTCTTTTATGTTGGTACATGGAATTGAGTGTATATACATAATATATATATATATATGTATATTTTTATTTTATAAAATGGAATTATATCTTATAAAAACTTAACCCGGATAATCTCAAACCTCTTTTATTGTAGCATTGAATGTTTCTTCCATATACACACACACGCACACAAAATCAAAACAAAGAGTTTTCATTATATCAAATTAATTTAAATAGTCAATTGAGACAACACAAATAATATATATATATTACTCCCTCCGTTTCTAACTATATATCGTTTTAAAAACTTTGTTTTGTTACTAAATATATGTATTTTTAGATTTTCTAGGCAATTTTTTAGTGAAATTTTCAATTTTATCCTTATTTAAAAACATTTCAATTCAATAGATCATTAATAAAAATGTAATTTAATAAGAGTTAGTATATATGACTTTTTTTAGATTTTCTTAAAAACTGTGATAAAATATAAAACGATAAATATTTTGAAATGGAGGGAGTAGAATACATTATATATAAATGAAGATAACAAAAAGCTGTACAAAATACATATAAAAGGCGTTTTAATGTATCATTATTGCTTCCTACTCTTTTTTATTTTCCACGAAAAATTGAAGTAGACTGACATACTATAATACTATTGATTTCATTTCATTCCCTATGAAATTATTACTTTCCCTTTTACCAAACGCTTTCATTTATTTTTCAGTTCACGAAACCGTACCTCTTTTTGATTCTTGCCCATGTTTCTCAATTTTTTATTTTTTGGAATTCAGTGTGTGTATATATATAGGGCATATATAAACGCATGATATATTTCGGTCCTATATATTTCATTATATGTATACGTAAGATATAAGAAAACACGTAATACGGGATGTTTGGTCAAAAAGATCATTAAATGTTCATTTCAAGAAAATCCTAATAAATGATTTTGCATAATATATGTTTTAGAAAGAACCAATTACATTATAATTAATCTACGTTTGAATATTTTTTTCCCATTAAGGACAATGTTAAGGTGCCATTAATGCATGAATTACGCGCGCGCGCGTGTGTATACACACACACACACACACACATATATATATATATATATATATAGATATTTACAAACACACACACAGATGCATTTCATATTTATCAAGTGTTACATACACACGTACGGGTAAAGATACGATATCTAGTTATTGTATGTTTTCTTCACTCATTGGAAGATTGGAGATTCAAATTATAATTCCATTTTTAATCTAAGGATATCAATGGCAAAAAAAAAGGGCTGATCGTTACAAGACGTATGAGATATTCATGTAAACGATTTTTATTCGGTTAAATTGTATTTTACATCATTATAAAAGTATATAGTGTTATAGAGTTTACAAATGTCGATATTGTGCGGACCTTGAACCAATAAAAAATGTGGAAATTAATGGCTATAAGAAGAAAGGAGAGTATCGAAGTGTGGACGCTACGTAGAGCTTTCCCAGTTTGGTAGATTTTGTACAATTTGTATTAATATATATTTTCATAACTCATAACATATATGTATCACATTATTATGAATATATATATATATATATATATATATATATATATATAATATTATATGTACGTATTTCATGTTCCATGGCCATCTCTTCCCTCTCACATTATATACACATTTGTTAACTCTATGAAACGTTTTTAGCCTTTTTAGGGTTTGTGTTTTTGCAGAAACTTGGGTTTAGACAGGAGTGAGTGCATGTCTTCGATTACTCGATCGAATCGTTTCGATAACCGGATGAGTGAAGTTTTAGAAAATACCCGAAATCCGGATTTGAGAAGACAAAAATAACCTTAAATTTTGGTAAAAATTATAGAAATACAATCGTTTTACTCTCAACCCTAAACGTAACTCTCATTTCCTTTTAAAGCCGCCGATGAAGGATTCGGATTCGGATTCGGATTCGGATTCGGATAGAAAAACCGGAGAGAATCCGAGTCACATGTGTTAATTCCCAAAATATATATATATTCATAACCGAACCCATAGGGTTTCTATTTTGGATATGATGATCGTTATTTATTTGGATAGAGCGATCCATCGTCATCGGGTAATCACGTATGACGTGTGATATTTATCGGACCTTTGGTGAAAGATTCATTGTACAAATTAGTATAAACTAATTTTGCCATTTAAACTCTCACATGCATAGTTGTAGATAAGGACCGACATTGAAATCAAATATTTATAACCGATCTCCTGCCTTCTGCTCCCGGCAGTGGCAGCCCATGTTACATGCATAAATACATGTCTACATACATATGTACTCGTACATGTACTTGTGCTTGTACGTTTGAATGAAAGAAGTTGACGCGCTATTAGATTTATATATATATATATATATATATATATATATATATGTGTGTGTGTGGGTGTGTATGTATGTATTCGAAATAAAACGTGAATCCGAAACGTGGAGACGATTAAAAAGATCTATTGAAATCGACATCAAGACAATTTCATAGTTGTTATTTATTTTTTTTCTTTCGCATTTATTAAATTATTATATCAAGGGCGCATTTAATTTAATAATTTTTTGTAAAAGGGAAATACATTTTTTGGTCCAAGTCCAAGATAATAAGTACAATGCGCGATACACCCCATTAGGGTTAGGCACGGGTCGAGTACCCGCGATTTTGGAGATATCCGTCTTCGTCTTCGCGGGTTTCATGAAAACAATGTCTCATTCTCTACTTCATTAACACCTGATACCCATCGACCGGATATCCATGATTAAGAGACGGGTAACTACGAATACCCGTACCAGTAAAATATATATTTTTTAAATAAATATAAACCAAATATTTAGTAAAATTATATTATTTAATTCAAAAATATCTTTGAATATATATAGATTTTTAAAAGTTTTTAAAATATATATGTTAATTTTTAAAAGTTAAAACATAATATTTAAATAAATAATTAAAAAATATAAATATTTGATATTTTTATATAAATTACGGGTATCCGTGGGTATCCGTCTTCGTAAAAATGAAATCCGTACCCGTCTTTGTTATCATTTTTATGTATCCGTCTTCGTATTCATTCAGAAGCGAGTACCCATTTTTCGCATACACACGAGACCAGATATCCGCGAATATGCGGGTAACGGATATAAATCGCCAGCGCTACACCCCATCCCTGTCGGCCATTTAAGACGTGGAATCTCTGCCCCTTCCATTCTTGTACAAAAATATTTCTGCAAAATTAACAAATAACCCCAAAAAAAGGTGTAATTCCATTAAAAAATCAAAGAACAAGAGGTGGGGTTGAATTTTTCATTATTATTATTATTATACGTTTCTAATTAATTATTCTTTGGTATCATTTTTTTATTTGTGAAAATAGATCATATTATATTGAGTATAATTAGAGTTATGGGATAGGGTTGATTAACAATACGCTTGGCTTTAGTTTCCAAACAATACCAAATTAGACTAAAAAGATCAAATCTTTCCTGGTCAAGTGTAATATAAATATATATCGAATTGTTATTAAAATATTAAATTATATTTTTTTACTATTATTGAAGTATGCTACAGTAAATAACATGGTATTTCTTTCTCATTTCGTGCTTATAAAAATGGACAGGAAACACTATTAAATGAAAATAAGCTAATTATTTATATTTTGTATATTTTGTAATAAAAATGTCCAATGATGCATGTCATTATTTTTTAACATATGATACAAATAGGTTAAGATGATACCAAACTATACAAAACATGTTGATTTTTTTTATAACCAGGATTGTTTCCTGAGTTTTCGACCTAATTGCATCCATCCTAGATCCGAGAACAGTCTATATGGAAAATGTTGATTTTATTGTCTTTTCTTGAAGTAACAAAAATGTAACATCTCATAATTTCTATACTAAAACCATATTTGAATAGAATACCCAAATCCACATTTCAAACATCGATCGTTTCATAGCTTGTGAGCCCTCTAAATTATATTATATAAATATAAATTTATATAAGCATCATAGATTACAATGCTTCTTATCTCAACTATAATAATTACCCTTTTCTTCAATCAGAGCGCGTGCACACACATATATATATAGGTGTATGTATGTGTTGTGGCATTCTCACATGTCATGCACATGCGTTTGTGTGTCCACATTATACACATGAACACAGATCAAAGAGAGACTCTTTTTCTTTTGTAGGGTTACAAGGTCAAAAAGGTAATGTCCAAACGATTTTTTTTTTCCAGAATTTTGGGAGGTGGGGGATTACAGAATTTTAGAGGTGTAAAACAGGCTAATCTGACCCAAACCAATCCGACTCATTTCGATCTAGAAAAATTTTAGTCTAATATTCCAGCTCAATCCGTCTTTTAGTAAGTAAAAAATATATCAGCCTAACCCATATCATTTTATCCCGTGAGTCAAACAAGTTGGTTTGCGAACCAAATATATAAATTTAAAAAATAAAATTTTAATACTACAAAATATTTAAAAATATTTTAATCATATTTTTTAAATATTTAAAATATTTAAAATATAATTAAAATATAATTTTAAATAAAACAAACTAAATATATAATAAAAATATAATTTGTATATAAAATATTTTAAAATATATAAAATATTAAATTTTGAAAGCAAAAAAAATTTCTAATCCTTGGGCGAGTCCGCTCATGACGGACCGACTCGTTTGGCCCAATTTTTTTAGGCTCAAATATTTTGAACCCATCTCATAAAAACACGAATCAGCCGGCTCGCCGGGCAAGTTTTACACCTCAAAATTTTGAGTGCGTAGGGAATTAGACGAATCTTTTTCTTAATATAGAGAGGTTGGTCCACAACCACAAAAGCGTTATTAAATTTAATAAATAAAAATATTTATGTGCATGACAGCAAGAAATATAGTATGCTGTTTTAGCAGAGTCACCTCAAACATTATTGGAATCTAGAAAGTCATCATGCCCCAACAGCGACGCCATTCTAGGTACGCTTTTATGCACACACACACTCCTATACATACACAAACACGCATATATATATATATATATATATATATATATATATA